AAAAAACAACCCCGACAAAGCGACGGCGGAGGAGTAAGAGGGGGGGGGGGGGGAAACAACTATCAACAAACACCCCACGGGGGGGAATAAAAATATTAAAAATTTTTCGCGAAACAAAAAAAAAAAACTTCGTATAAAAACATAAAATTTTACCCCCCCCCCCCCCCCCCCAAAAAAAAAAAAAAAAAAAAAAAAATTAACATAGTGTAATGGTAAACGGCGACAAAAATGAAAAGGGGAAAAATAAATTAAAATGTCTTCTGTGCAGGACACTTTTCTGTACATTTCTTTCCTTTTGTTGTCGCATAACTACAATATAAAACTTACTAGTTACACGTTTTATGGAAGAAATGTCGTACATGTGATCACACAAAAAGTTGTTGCCCGTCTTCCTGCTTGGTAAGCTGTCTCCGTTTACATTAAAGATCGAAGTTTCAATAGTTTTGCACCTATCATGAAAAAACCATAAGTTAATGAAACAAAATGGAGTAGTTTCCTAGCCAGGACTCGCGCTCTCATTCTTTATATATCTCGATTTGAATATTTGATTTCGGGCCCGAAAAGTTACCAGGACTTCAGAGAAGCGGGCCCCAGTTCCCACTCCCTATACCTAGCTAACCTTTTTTTCCCTCGAGGGTTCGACCACCAACAGTTAGAAAAGCTTCTTGAGTTGGATGGCTGAAGCACGTTGCTGATACTCCCTTGCTTGTTCAAGGTCACCTAAGTCTTGGAGAATTGACGCTAGGTTGCCGTAGCTTATTGCAACAGAAACATGTTCAGCACCAAGCTTCTTTAGTTTGATGGCTAAAGCACGTTGCTGATACTCCTTTGCTTTTTTAAGGTCACCTAAGTCCTGGTGAATTGAAGCTAGGTTACCGTAGCTTGTTGCAACAGAAACATGTTCAGCCCCAAGTTTCTTGAGTTTGATGGTTAAAGCACGTTGCTGATACTCCTCTGCCTTCTCAAGGTCACCTAAGGCTTTGTAAACTAAAGCTAGGTTACCGTAGCTTGTTGCAACAGAAACATGTTCAGCACCAAGATTCTTGAGTTCGATGTCTAAAGCACGTTGCTGATACGCCTTTGCTTGTTCAAGGTCACCCAAGGCGCTGTAAACTAAAGCTAGGTTACCGTAGCTTGTTGCAACAGAAACATGTTCAGCTCCAAGCTTCTTAAGTTTGATGTCTAAAGCACGTTGCTGATACTCCTTTGCGTTTTTAAGGTCGCCTAAGGCTTTGTAAACTAAAGCTAGGTTACCGTAGCTTGTTGCAACAGAAACATGTTCAGCACCAAGCTTCTTGAGTTCGATGTCTAAAGCACGTTGCTGATATTCCTTTGCTTGCTCAAGGTCACCTAAGTCCTGATGAATTAAAGCCAGATTACTGTAACTTATTGCAACAGAAACATGTTCAGCACCAAGCGTCTTGAGTTGGATGGCCAAAGCACGTTCCCGATACTCCTTTGCTTGTTCAAGGTCACCTAGGTCCCTGTAAACTAAAGCTAGGTTACCGTAGCTTGTTGCAACAGAAACATGTTCAGCACCAAGCTTCTTGAGTTTGATGGCTAAAGCACGTTTCTGATACTCCTTTGCTTGTTCAAGGTCACCTAAGTCCCTGTAAACTAAAGCTAGGTTACCGTAGCTTGTTGCAACAGAAACATGTTCAGCACCAAGCTTCTTTAGTTTGATGGCTAAAGCACGTTGCTGATACTCCTTTGCTTTTTCAAGGTCACCCAAGTCCTGGTAAATTGAAGCTAGGTTACCGTAGCTTATTGCAACAGAAACATGTTCAGCACCAAGATTTTTGAGTTCGATGGCGAAAGCACGCTGCTGATACTCCTTTGCCTTCTCAAGGTCACCTAAGGCTTTGTAAACTAAAGCTAGGTTACCGTAGCTTGTTGCAAGAGAAACATGTTTAGCACCAAACTTCTTGAGTTGGATGGCTAAAGCACGTTGCTGATACTCCTTTGCGTGTTCAAAGTCACCTAATTCTTGGTGAATTGAAGCTAAGTCATTGTACCCTGATGCAACATCGACATTTTGGTCACCCAACAGCCTGATGCGAACAGCGAGAGAGTTTTCGAAGTATGTCTTTGCCACGTTAAATTCACAATGCATTTTACATATGCCGCCAAGATTCGACAACTTTTCAGAAATGTCCTGAACAAGGACTTGAGACATATTTTCTGCCATAATAACAGTATCAATTGGTACAATAAGGGCACTTACGTGCGGAATGATGTGTATGGTGTCCATTGCTCTATTTTTGGGTGGAATTGTGACTATAAATTTGTTCAATGATGTAACAGCTTCACTTACAACCTTGAACGATTGATTCTCTTGATATTCACTCATCACCCATTTCATTGCGTCGTGCACAACTTGGTGTACACGAATGTAGTAGCAACCATCTTCCTCTTCCTCTAAAAGAAGCAGTGAACATCTTCTGAATCTCCTACGAATTTGTTCTTTGTCCCCTTTGTCAACGTGTTCGAGAACGTTTATAAGATAACTGACCGCTATGTCAACGTTTAATGGTTGTGGTGCGCACAGGGAAAGAAATTTGAATAGGTGTTCAAAAAACTTGTCGGATTTGACTTGTGTTTTAACAGCAAGCTTTATTGTTGTAGTCATCGTGTTTGGATAAATTGGGTTGGTATCAGCAAGGGTATCCTCGGTCGTTTCTCGTTTTCCTGTTTCTAAAATCTTTAGGTATTCGTCCCAGCCAAAGTGCTTCGATGCTTTGTCCTGTCGAATGTCTTTGACAAACACAGCCGCGCCTGCTAAAGCAAGTGGCTGATAGTCCAGTTTCTGAGCAACGTTTTCCGCTAGCTCGTTGTCGAAGACCCCAGAAAGCTTGGCCAATAAGGAAGTGGCATCGTAAGGATTCATTCCTTGGCTTACTGAAATGTGATTGATGAAAGAGCTTTTTAATGGGATGGACTTTGTATCCTGGGTTGTAATTAACAACTGACCTCTTGCCCACGTCTCGGTTCCAGACTGTGGTAGGTGATCATGAAGAAAAGTCAGTTTAGTCACATTGTCCACCACCATTAGCCACGACGTGTAACACCCAATTTTTGCAGCAATAAGCATCTTGAGATTGGCAATCTTCTCCTCAATGTTCCAATCCTTAGAGCTCAAGGTTTGCATCACTGAAAAGTCTGGGCACTTTAACTGACGAGCAAAATTGGCATATGACTCCAAAAGTGAATCTTGACTGGCAGCGTTTAGGGTCATCACAAAGGACGAAGTGCCTGGTATTTCTTTTACTTCATCAAAAAATCTTTCAGCTACGAGGCCAGCTAGTTGTGATTTGCCACTTCCTGGATTCCCTGAGATGTACAGATAACTCAACCTATTCTCGTTGGCCTTCTTTAGTTCTCTTAGCTGATGGGCTATTTGCGTTACCTCCCTTTCACGGCTTTCAATTTCGTGTGTAGGTTTAGGAGGGAGAATACAGAATGACGGCGCTTCTTTCTGAAGCTGATCTTCAAGAACCTGGCGCTGGGTTTCCTTTTCTTGAAGTTCTTGTTTAACATCGTCAACCTCTTTCAGAATTTTATGTAATTCGTCGGTTGGGAAAGTTTTCTGATTTTTTATGTCATCGATTTTTACAGTTGAGAGACCAAGCGCGTGAAAGGCAACATGAACTTTTCCAATGGCATTCTGAAAATCCATCTCAGGGAGACTTCCCTGTGATACGTGGGCGAATTCCTCGTTTCTAAAATTTCTAAGATCATCCACGTTCTTTCTGACAGTTGATGTTAGGTAGGGCCCGACACAATCAGAGTAAAGGATGGCGTAAAACAGCATTGTGCAATCCCATCCCGCTCTGTTTCCATTTATCATGGTGGCCAAAAGACGAGCATTTCTTCTTTGATTTCTTAGAGATTCGCCGTTGTAAAAGTCTGTTCCATTCTGGGGCACATCTTTCCATTCTCCCAATGGTGTTGATTTGTATTTATTGTTCCATTCACGTTTAAAAAGTTCTCTGAGGCCTTCGGCTAGTATATCAGTGGTTACATAGCAAATTCTGAAGTAGTTCAGCTGTTCTTTGGTGTATTCTTTTGAAAGGGCCATGTTTGACGCAATGTTTGACGCACTGGTGAGACTTGGAACCTTTGGAAAAAATAAATCAAGAAACTACTTGATGAACGTTGTAGGAAAAAAAAGACGGGATCTCTTATTATGATTTAAACGAAATAACTTCTGTTGTTCTAAATTGTCGTTAACTCGATCGATGTCGATAAGTTGTAAATCCTCATTTACTAAGCATGGCTTGTTTTCCTTGGTTTTTAATCTACGCTAACGAGGAAACATTTTTTTCTCAAAATGTGAAAGGCGAAAAAAGCTGACGTAAAATGCCTTATTTTCAAACTTGCCTCCGTTTTGGCTTTTAAAGAATAAGATTAAAATCTTTTAAGTGGAAGGAAGTGGACAACATGATTAAAATTATGCCGAAATTGGTGTTAAAAAACTGTTTGATATTCATCTTTTGTAAACTTTCTTAATATATTGTTACTTTAATTTCCTTTGAACATAAGTGTATCTGTAGCCGTAATTTTTAGTTCATCTTTGAAAAATTGTAATTGAGGGGGCCTAGTTAACATTATCAGCTTTGTAGTTTCCTTTACTTTATACGTTTTTCTATCTTTTTTGTAATTCTAATCATGTAATTTTTCTGTGTGGCAAAATAAATACAAAATACAAGCTTGAACGCGGTTTAAGAGCTGATTTAATTTGAAGCATTGAGTTAAATATTCTTTTACGGATTTCTTCAAACAGGCTTTCTCCCTTTCTCCCCTAATGTGTCTCAGGAAACAATGACACCTTTCGGGTAGATTCTGGGTTTCATTGTCGGATCTGTAAGTTTAAGAAAACATTTTATGATATGCATTGCGTATTTACACTTCTTGTTGACTACTGTCAATTCAAGTGCTGAAGTGTGGAATCCGGGGGGGTACTCAAGGGAAGTTTGGGTAGAGGGAAGGTGAACTTGTTGTCTTCAATTATGTAATAACAGAGGAGATTGTATTGTAAATTATTTGAAACGGTCGATGTACCAGGAGGTATAAGATCCAAATAAATATTGTCTATTTTGTCTTCTTTATTACCGCTGAGGCCTTCAAACCCTGATCCTGTTCTCCAGAAATGCTCATTTCAATAGCCTGTTTAAGACTCCTGGAGACAAGTTTCTGACCCTGAAATGATTTTTTTTACATACTGAAGCAAGTAATTTTCACACTTAAATCGTGGAAATAGATATTTAGGAAAAAATATTGGTTTTGCAAATTTAGGCCGCTTATTGCAAGCCTTCACACTCTTTAAAAAGCTTCCAGTTTAAAAAAGGACACCTTCTTAAGAACGCTTAATAGTCTAATACTCAAGACCTTGAAAACCAGACCCTTTTCAGCGGCACATACCCGTATAGGCCTTTCGCCTTCGTCTAACCCTTAGACTGTTCACAGTCCTCTATTTTCCCGTAAGATCGTCGAGATCGAGCGCTTTGCGTTACGGGCTGCCATCTTGCATGAGTGTCAAAACTACTTAGGGGGCGGGGACGGTTTGGGAGGAAGCGAGTAATCCCCGATGTCCGCCCCCTCGGTAGATACCCGTGACGGTAAGACGCGGTATATCTAAACGATCTCACGAAAAAATAGGGGACTGTGAACAGTCTATCTAACCCTGCATATCAATGTCTTGTAAAAAAAGTACATGGAATATAAGGGGAATAGCAAAAAGATGTTTTTACAAGAAAATTAATATCAACTTGCTAGGAAACTATCTGCCAAAAAAAATTTCAGGAGTTATTCATTGAGCACAATCCGGATTAATATAAACATCAGGCGCTGGTGTAGTAAATTTGTTAGCAGGAATAGAGAAAAAAACGATTTGAGATGCATTGTGATCTGATTGAATCTTGGCGCAGGGAAAACTTTAAATTTCTTTTATTGTTTTTAGCGTCACTGGTCGAAAAGTAGCGGGAACGTGTCGAAACGTGTGGAATCATATAGAGTTGGGGTCACGTGCTTGTTTTGATTGCTTTCCGCGAAACTGACGTAGACATATCGCTTACCGTATTCCTTTGTTTCCCTTCCCCCCACCAAAAAAAATATCCGCAGTACATTCATCATGGTCATAGCATCAGCTTCAAATTTTTAGCCTAATGCATTTTTTAAAAATGCCTTACTGTATTTTAAACATCATTGCCTCCCAAACACAAGGGGCAGAACAATCAGTATTATTCCTTCATTAACATAAATAAATAAATAAATAAATAACGATTTGCAGGAAGTACATCCATAAAGTGGTTCTTTGTCTACCTGATTCCTGGTCGAATTGGAATTTGGAAATGCTGGTTTTTGAGGAGAGGGGAAAACCGGAGTACCCGGAGAAAAACCTCTCGGAGCAAAGGAGAGAACCAACAACAAACTCAACCGACATATGGTGTCGACGCCGGGATTTGAACCTGGGCCACATTGGTGGGAGGCGAGTGCTCTCACCACTGCGCCACCCTTGCTCCCATTTATATAATAGAATGCTTGTGGTCATTCGGTTTAGTCGGAGACGGTTCAGACACCTAACTGCGAAAGCACACGTAAACACCCCTCTCTCGGTCTTCCGTTTGTGATACAATTATAGCAAACAATACAGAACAGAACAGTTTAGTTCGATTCTGAATGGCCTTTGCTAGACTACGGTACTTGTCTACTAACTGTACACTTACTTTTGGGTCTTCTCACTGCTGTACACTGTCGATTTTTTCCGGAATGAAATCAGTGAGATTTCAGTTGAGGGCCAAGAGAAAAGAGACGGACACGCCAGTTTGAGTCGAAAGTGAAAGCAATCCACGGTACTTCACCGTGCTGTGACGTCTGTGTTTATTTTCGCATGTTATTATTTTTCGTCAAATATGCGCATTGACCCCTATTTAAACATACTTTTCCCCTCACCGCCCACGGACACGTCATCGTGATTGATTGCAGAATACCGCAATGCTGATCGTACTACGCGAAAATTAAATCTGCAAGACATCAACACGACACTGAAAGAACTCAAAACAGAGCGGGATTGTAGCCATAGACAGCTGTTTGGCCCTTTTTGGGGATCGTCAGTATGGCGCAACAACCAGAGAAAGCTCTGATGAAAAATATCCACGAAACAGCTGTCTATGGCTACAATCCCGCTCTGTTTTGAGTTCTTTCGGTGTCGTGTTGATGTCTTGAAGAGTTAAATGTCTCTCCCCCGGTCTTTCGTTTGTGATACAATTACGGTGAAACCTGTATTAAGCGGACATCCTCGGGGAAAGCTGTAGTGTCCGCTTAAATACAGGGTGTCCGCCTAATACAGGTTTCAATAGATAACGACATATGAGGTGTCAAATGCCATTCAAATGAACAGTGGAAACGTTTAGAATACTTCCAGAAACTATGACGATATACGTTTGCATGAATTTCTTTATCAAAGTAGACCAATTGATCATAGTACCTTAAACATAGATTGCAACTCAAATTTGAAGAAATCAGATGAGTGAAAAAAGCTGTATACAAACAAAACGGAATAGAAAACAATACTGTACTGGGAAACTAATCAAATAAGTTCGTCAAGTCGCGTTTTTTAATGTAAAAATCGAAAAATTTGTGGGTGACAATTCTAGCCGATCTTTAGCATTTCCGGTGTCTGGCATGTTGGGTGGTGGAATTAAATTACAAGTGTCCGTTTAATACAGGTTGGCGACAATAGAAATGACCATTTCAGGTACTTTTTAGGTGTCCGCGTCCGCTAAATAGAGGTGTCAGCTTAATAAAGGTTTCATTTAAAGTAAATAAGGGAAATAGATTTGGGGACTTCGGCTACTGTCCGCTTAATAGAGGGTGTCCTCTTAATACGGTGTCCGCTTAATACAGGTTTCACTGTATAGCAAACAATACAGCACAGAACCGTTTAGTTCGATTCTGAATGGCCGTCGCTAGACTACGGTACTTGTCTACTAATTGTACACTTACTTTTGGGTCTTCTCACTGCTGCACACTGTTGATTTTTTCCGGAATGAAATCAGTGAGATTTCAGTTGAGGGCCAAGAGAAAAGAGACGGACACGCCAGTTCGAGTCGAAAGTGAAAGCAATCCACGGTACTTCACCGTGCTGTGGCGTCTGTGTTTATTTTAGCATGTTATTAGTTTTCGTCAAATATGCGCATTGACCCCTATTAACATACTTTTTCCCTCACCGCCCACGCAAAGGTGATCGTGATTAATGAGTTAAGTGTTCAAGATGGACACACGCCAATGGAGTCTAAAGTCAAAGTAACCTATTTTTATCATCCTGTTTTTGAGTCAATGTTCATTTAACAGTACAAATTTTTCCTCTCACAGTAATCTTGACTACAATCTTGGACAGAATAAAACGGAACAGTAAGCCAACCGCCCCCCCCCCCACCCTCCCAAAAAAGTCGAGGATGAAGCTGCGCAAAAGCCAAAACGAGCTATTTTCCTATCCTTAATTGGGTGGGGTGGGGGGGGGGGGAGGGAGAGGGGTACAAATGTCCAATCTCTTCTTTCCAAGATATTCTATCGGTAATAGTTGCCGGGTTATGAATTTTGCACTGTATTGTGTTGGGTTTTTCTCTTTGTGGCTGAGCCAGCTAAAAGAGTTTTTAGGTTGTAAAAACTAATTTAAAGCTGACATCATGCAGCTTGTGGCTTGAATACGGGGGAGGGAGGAAGGTTGGAGGCAAAAGCCTCTGGTAGAGGAGAGTCCAAACCTCCCGTCTCTCAAACCCCAGCTGCATTTCCGACTCCCACCCTCTTTTATTATTCATTCAGAGTATTTTTCTCTGTTTCTGATTGGCTAAAATGTCAGGCGTAATTCATCATAACTAGCTAAACACCCCTTCCCCCAGTCTTACGTTTGTGATACAATTATAGCGGCAAACAATTCTGTACAGAACCGTTTAGTTCGATTCTAAATGGCCATCGCTAGACTACGGTACTTGTCTACTAATTGTACACTTACTTTTGGGTCTTCTCACTGTAGACTGTTGATTTTTTCCGGAATGAAAGCACTGAGATTTCAGTTGAGGACCAAGAGAAAAGAGACGGACAAGCCAGTTCGAGTCAAAAGTGAAAGCAATCAACGGTACTTTACCGTGCTGTGACGTCTGTGTTTATTTTCGCATGTTACTATTTTTCGTCAAATATGCGCATTGACCCCTAAGTGCTAAAGATGGACACACGCCAGTAGAGTCTTAAGCCAAAGTAACCTATTTTTATCATCCTGTTTTTGAGTCAATGTTCATTGACCAATACAAATTTTTCCTCTCACAACCCATCCCAAAGTAATCTTGTCTACAATCTTGGACAGAATAAAATGGAACAGCAAGCAAACCCACTCCCCCCACCTCCCCCGCCAAATCACGAATGAAGCTGCGCAAAAGCCGAAACGTGCTATTTTCCTATCCAAGATTTGGGGCGGGAATTTGGGGAAGAGGAGTGGTATAAACTTCCAATCTCTTCTGTCCAAGATATTGTATCGGTAAGAGTGGCCCGGCGTATGGATTTTGCACTGCATGGTGGTGTTGTTTTCCCTTTGTGCCTGAGCCAGCTTAAAGAGAGTTTTTAGGTTTTAAGAACTACTTGGAAGCTTCATGCAGCTTGTGGCTTGTATACGGGGAAGGACGAAGGGTAGGGGGTCCAAGCCTCCCGTCTCCCGAACCCTAGCTGCATTCCAGACTCCCACCCTTTTTTTATTAGGGACCGGTCATTGTTTATCGCCGGGAAGGGGGTGCGTGTGTGTTTGGGGGGGGGGGAGGGTGGGGGGCGGAGGATTTAGGACTAAACATGGTGAAATTTAGCCGATCCTCTCTTTGAATGTTACTTCACTAAAGTGACCCCCCTGACAACATTTGATGACTTTCGCGACTCCGCCCCCCCCGCCATGTCTTCATTTTCCAAGCAAATTTGAGAGGTCCCCCCTCTGAATCCTTCCAAAGTTTTCAGTGATCCCCCCTTTTGGGTTCTCAGTTACGACTGATTCCCCCTTTTGTTGTCCTAAAAATTAAGTGATCCCCCCCCCCCCAAAATCCTCCCCTCCCCCTACCCTTCAGGCCATAAATAATAACCGCTCCCTTAGCTTGTTTTCTGATTTGGCCAAATATTAA